TATCCTCCACTGACATGCTCAGTGTCTTTAGCCAGCTCAATGTTATCACTAGCCAACGATCAAAGTTCATTTGGTGCTAAATATCTGATCGGGATTATGATGATGATTTCTCAAAGCAAGCAATCTTTTTTTTAAAAATTATGATCAGTTAAAGATTAGTCAATCACGTTTTGTCATCTCTGAAGTTTGAAAATGAGCTGTATTGAGGATGTAGACGCTTTCATGTCTTGTTGCTTACTGCTACTGATGTTATCTGGCTCCTTCAGCGAGGGGAGTCGCTCACATTTAAAAAATGGCTTTGCGTTTGGTGCTGTTGCTCATTGCTCTCTTGGGCCGCTGGCTTTAGTTCACACTCTGAGCTGGGAGGAAGAGGAGCAGGGGGATTGGTGGCGGCTCGGAGTTGTGTAATCCAGCACAGGCGGCTATTGTTGGCTTTGAAATGGTCCCCCAGCACAGTGACCACACGGAGACCCCTGATGAATATTGATTAGCTGCGCTGGCGTTGAGAGAGAATGAAATGTGATGTGAGCAAAGAGTGTCGGTTTGATTTTTTTTTTATACTGAAAATAAGCAGATAAATGAAAGCTCATGTAATGTTTTTAAAGGACCTTGAAGGTGGTGGTGGATTTCCAGTGTTTTTATTGCCTGTACAGTCCTCTCTCATATTATCTCATTATCTGTTTTTTTTTTTCTGTCACTGTCATTCTGTTACACTGTGGAAGCTTCTGTCACGAAAACAAATTCCTCGTATGTGTAAACATACCTGGCAATAAAGCTCATTCTGATTCTGATTCTGATCATCAGGGATCAATAAAAATTATTTTTGTTTCTTTGAGGTTGTTTGGTCAGCCAGTTGTTCAAATTTATCTTTTATTATTTAAACGTTTATTACTTTCATTTAAACAGCTTTATTTGCTTTTAATTTGCAATAATTGCTAGACATTACTAGAAATACAGCTATAATCTATATGATGTTCAATAACCGATTCATTAAAATTCATAAACACACTCTTAAGCTGGAAAACAATGTATGATCAACAATGTTTATGACTTTCATCTTCTCACAAACCATTTTTCAACAAATTTCAACAAATCCACATCTGTGTTGGCCAGCTTGACAGCATTATGTCACAGAAAAAAAGAAAAAAAAAAACGATTTTATAAATTTTCATAAAAACACAGGGTTTTTTTTATTTATTAAAAAAATTAAAGTAACAGTTTGAATTAAATTGCTCAAAAGCAAGTGTAAAGATATTTACAATGTTACATTATTTCTGCTTCAAAGACATGCTGTTCTTGAAAAATGTATTGTGCTGCTTATTGTGCTTAATGTATTGGTGGAAATCACAACTGTTTTCAACTTTGATCATAGTTATTAGAATAATAGAAATGTTACTTGAACATCAAATCATCATATCAGAATGTTTTCTGAAGGATCATGTGACACTGAAGACTGCTAAAAAATTCAGCTTTGCATCACAGGAAAAAATTACATTTTTAAAATATATTCAAATAGAAAATGTCTAGGCCTATTTTGCAATATTACAGTTTTTACTCTGTTTTTGAACAAATAATTACAGCCTTGGTGAGCATAAGAGACTTCTTTTAAAAAGTTGTAAAAATGTACCGACCCCAAACTTTTGAATGGTATTGTTTATGATCAGTGATAGGGAAAGTGACAGCAACTCCTTATGGCTGATCCCCGATTATTAAATAGAATTTTTGAGACCCCAAGGTTTCACTGACAGTGTCCAGACTGCATTAAACTTGGGCATGAAGCTGACCCACGATACTTTGACAATAAATCATTTCAAAGATGTATCCACACTCTTTTCCCGTCAGCATTCACTGTCACTATCAGTCAATGAAATAGAATTAGTCTCTATCACTCAAGAAGGGAAAATCAGCTCCATCAGTCAAGTTGTCGCCCCCCGGCTGTTTAACCCATTTTGCTTGCTGGATCCTCCCCGGCGCATGACAACAGGCTTGTGTAACACATATTTTCAGAACCAGTTCTATCCGGTCAATGAGCCGCCTGGTTGGGGTGCTTATGAGAGACGGAGTGTCTGGATTTTTCTTGCTTCTGCCGCTTCGATTGCGTAAGTGTCCTCAGATCTGGAGCACATGAGAGATGCACTTTCTGCTTCTCCTTTACTGCACATGAATAAAGATGCCGTGGATCCGCTCCGATGTCCAGCGGGCGGCCAATTCTTCCCTCTGAATTGATTCCTCTGGACAAGCAAACACATAAGACTAGCTTCCTTTCAGTAGAGCAGGAAGACTGATTCTCAGCTTTCCAGTGTCCAGGCTGTGACAGAAACATACGCCATGACATTTAAACTAAGGAGGAACAATACTGGTAAAAAATCAAAACAAGGTGTTTAATTCAGCCAAGAACATTTTGTGCATAATAATTGCATGCCGTCAGCATGCTGCTCCTTTTCTAAGCGTATGTTCACTCATTATGAGAGCTGAAGATATGTTGGGATTCCCTCAGGCATTGGCTTTTCCCTTAGGCAGGACTATTCGTCCCAATTAATCTTAGCGCTAAAGTGTGACCGAGTGAGCTCGGGTGAGCTTCCCTGAACCCTGTGCCTGTTGGGAAGGTTTAACGGTACTTGAAAGTCACAGCGTTAGTCACTTGTCTGCTGCCCCCAGCCTTGTCCTCACAAGACTCTCCATCCCAAGAAACCACTGCAATGGTTCCACAGTGCAAAAAGATCACCTGAGGGCCAGTGAGTGTCTAAGCCATGTTGTGATTAACACCAATTAACCGTGCTTTAATTAAGAGGTGTGATGGCCGACTGTCAGGACCACTGGAGTAGGAGAGGATTGATGGGCATGGCTGAACCTGCTGCTCAGAGAAAAGAGGAACTGTCTGTGGTACTGATCCCAGGACTGTCACTTTGCAGACTGTAAGATTTGCTCCCATCTGGTTGTTAATCAGTTTCTGATTACATTTTTTTAGCACAAAGGCGTAAATGGTGATGTTAAAATACTTCCTTCTGTCCCAAATGAATATGCAGAGACAGCTATTTGTAGAGACAAGGTGTTTGTAGGTTGATTTCACTGAATATTGTGAACACAGTGACACTGTGGTGCTATCTGAACATTGCTCAGATTGTTTGAGCCAGTGTATCATCATTTCATCCAGTGGGTTGAGTTTGGGGCAGAATTATCTGTTTGTCTGACTAATGTCAAATTTCTAGATGATATATTGTATAGAAGATATTTTTATTTATATATCTCTTTTAATTTCATTTTTTAATTAAATTTAAAATCGATTTTAAATGACATTTTTTATTTATTTTTATATACATTTTTTTAAATTCATTATTTTATTTTTTTAATTCGCTGTTTATATTATTTATATTATTTTTGTGGTATTTTATAAAAATCATCAAAGTAATTTGTATTATTTTATATTATAAAATACAGAAACAATTAAAAATTAGATTTTTTGTGATATATATACAGGTGCATCTCAATAAATTAGAATGTCGTGGAAAAGTTCATTTATTTCAGTAATTCAACTCAAATTGTGAAACTCGTGTATTAAATAAATTCAATGCACACAGACTGAAGTAGTTTAAGTCTTTGGTTCTTTTAATTGTGATGATTTTGGCTCACATTTAACAAAAACCCACCAATTCACTATCTCAACAAATTAGAATATGGTGACATGCCAATCAGCTAATCAACTCAAAACACCTGCAAAGGTTTCCTGAGCCTTCAAAATGGTCTCTCAGTTTGGTTCACTAGGCTACACAATCATGGGGAAGACTGCTGTTGTCCAGAAGACAGTCATTGACACCCTGATTTAAATATTAGAAGTCTTATTTTGAAATGTGACGAAATTAGAACTTTGTTAACTGGGTCTAATCTTGATTTCTTATGCTTAAGCGAAACATGATCATATTTTAACTAGTATGGTTGATATTCCTGGATATACGTGTTTTAGAAAAGATAGAGTTACAGGTAGAGGTGGTGGTGTATTAATATACATTAAGGATTCATTTAAATCTACAGAGATTCCATTACCTGAAAACGTTTTAATGGAATCTTTGTGTGTAAACGTTTCTCTTTCTCCACGTATGGAATTTAATATTGTAGTATTGTATAACCCCCCTTCAGGATGTGCGGTATGTGTGTGTGTGTGTATATATATATATATATATATATATATATATATATAATACTTTTTACAATTTTATTTTTGTAAATTCCATAGTCCATAATATTGGTCAAGATTTTAATAGTAACTTTCATTCTCCATATAAAAAAAATAATAATAACAACATAAAAGTGAGTAAAATGTGTTGGGTTTGTATATGTTGTTTTTGCTATTGTAACTTTAAGACCTCTGTGTGTCTTAACACTGCCATTGGCTAAGCTCTGGCAAGATGAGTTACTTAATATTAATGATATGTATATGTAGGTGGTGATATGTTTATGTGATCATGGTTCTGATATCACAACCACAAAGGTGTCTGAAATACTGTTTTTGTAGTTTAAGAAATCCAGAAGTATATAGAGTAGTATAATTAGTATTTATGCTTTTATATAATTAGTATGTTAAACTTTTGTATTTCCAAAGATCAAAGGAATTCCTTTAATGTCACATACAATTGTAAATATCATGACCTGGAGATTGTATTATCTACCAGAACGTCTTTGATTGTGACATTTTCGTAACCCATATCGGCTTCCCACTCCCTGGAACTCCCTGCATCTTATCTCTGTCTTTGTCTTTCCTCAGGTGAAGTGAAGGCAGGTGCTGTGTGCTGTCTCTCTCTCTCTCACTCTACATCTCTATCTCGGTGAGTTTTCCCCATTTTTCAAAATAAATAAATAAGAATGAACACAAATGGAAGAAAATGTAATTATGTTGTGAGTAATCACACTTTGCTTTGATAACACAAGCATATTTCAAGTCATAAGAGAAATAATTTGTGTCCCATCTTTGTGTGTTTGAAGCATCTTTCAATAATGCTGCAGAACAGAATGGCTAATAGTTTAATTTCTCTCATTCAACAGGAGCTGCTGAGACAGCTCGGAGAGATTCAGGTGAGATGGACATGGAAACGAACTTTGGTGTTTGCTCAGTCAGTACACACACAAATGTACCTTTACAAACTTCTGTTATGCAATTAGATTGAGGTCTTACAGATTCTGGACATGCAGTTTGTTACATTGCCAGTGCCGATCAGGTGCAGTCCTCTTAATGATTTAAGTATAATGAGTCACTTTTTCAGACAGTACCATACAAAACAAACAACTATATGAGAAACATTAACAGCAGTAAAGCTAAAGTGTGACAGCCCTCTGATGTGACGTCCAGCCATATTTCAGCCTGCCTGGATGTCTTCTGCTTATTGAGTGATGAATGTATTTCGGGCCGTAATTTATCTGAGAGCCGTCACAGTCTTCTTCTGACCGCTTTGCTGTGGATGAGCACATAGATGTGAGCTGACAGGCATCGATGAAGCTAATATCACAGATTCGCTTCGCCGCGGCTCCTGTGCGTGTCTGCTGGCCGCTGTCTGTCTCCCCCGCACGAGAGCAGACATAAGAAGAGTCATAATCTATTCATCAGATGGGCTAAAAATAGATGCTGCATCAGGTTCAAAGCCACACAGGGGGAAAAGGCACTTTCATTAGATAAAGCACCGCTGCTCACAGGTAATAAGTCACAGTGCGAATCATGATATCTTCTGCTTTTTTCAGTTGTACTGTGCATGTGAGGAATAGTTAAAGGAATATTTCACGCAAAAATTAATATTTGCTGAAAATGTACTTAGGTCATTCAAGATGTCAATGAGTTTATTTATTCATCAGAACAGATTTGTAGAAATTTAGCATTACATCACTTGCTCACCAATGGATCCTCTGCAGTGAATGGGTGCCGTCAGAAACAAGAGTCCAAACAGCTGATAAAAGCATCACAATAATCCACAACACTCCTGTGCATCAGTTAACATCTTGTGAAGCTGCGTGTTTGTGAGAAACATATCTATAAAGACTTTTTAACTTTAAATAGTTGCTTCCGGACAAAGTACGAGTCCTCTATTCATAATATTGTCCAGTAAAAAAAAATCATCCCATCTGAATCAGCAGAGAAATATGCACAGATTAAAGGGGTCATATGATGCTATTTTAAAGATCATTATTTTGTGTATTTGGTGTAACAGAATATGTTGACATGCTTTAATGTTCAAAAAACACATTATTTTTCAAATACTGTACATTATTGTAGGTCCTCTATGCCCCGCCTCTCTCAAACACGTCGTTTTCAACAAAGCCCCCTCCTTTGACAAGTGCAGTCTGCTCTGATTGGCCAGCTGGCCCAGTGCATTGTGATTGGCCGAACACCACAAGCACGCGTGGGAAATGTAACGCCCCTTACCATAATCGCGAGCGTCAGCTTTCAAAGTAAATATCAAGACAGTTAATAATGTCGTTAGTTTTAGCATCAGTTCAAGCCCGAAAGGGCAACAGAGTCGCGTGACAGACACAGTGATGATGCAGTACACAAGCCGCGGTTAAGACAGCTGACGTGCTATGATTTCTGACAAGGCAGTTCACTCTCCTGTGATGTGACCCTGTTCGAACATCTGGGTTGTGCTGTTCTGTTGTAAATAAATCTTAGCCAATGATTCCTAATTGCATCTACTTCCGGAAGGCCAAATAAAGTGCCTTTGCTTTCGCACTGAAACACAGCGTCTCCCTGACATGGCTGCACCAACACGACTGCTGTTCCTGAAACCACGCCTTCTTTCTTTGCGTGCACATTTGGGCGGCATTATGCTAATATTTCCACATAGTGACATAGACATGTGGGGGCGTGTTAGAA